AAAATGTGATCCGGCAAAATTCTGGCGCAAACTTCAGCCTAACAAACAAAAATCAGTCGAATGTGTTAAGCTCAAAGATGAGGTTATCCGAGATTCTAAGCAAACCGCGACTGAATTTACCCGCTATTTCCACTCAGTGTTTTCTGACTCGTCCATGTGTGCCAATTCAAATGATAACTGTATTAATATTCTGTAATATTCTGTCATCATTTCAGCATGTGTTTCGTAAGGGCCTTTCTACCACTATTCAGCTTATTACTTCTATTCATTCCTTCTCTGCTGTAATTAACAAATCAGGTCAAACTGACGTAGTTTTCATAGATTTTAGCAAAGCCTTCGACAGAATTTTCTATTCAATTCATATTCAGATTTCATAACATTTGAAGGCGTACATTCCATGCTTCTTAATATCAAATATAAATCGTCATGTGGCCCAGACAACATTCCTAATGTATTTCTTCGTCGCTATGCCGAGTTACTCGCACGTTTCCTGGTTGAAATTTCTCGCTCGTTTGTCGCAAGGCATTGTCCCGAAAGATTGGCTCATCCCCCGAGTGGTTCCAGTGTTTAAAAAAGGAGATAGTGCCATCGTAACAAACTATAGGCCCATATCACTAACTGTGTCGTGTTGTAAACTCATGGAGCACTATATTTCGAACTACATTTTGAACTTTTTAGATGAGCGTAATATTCTGTCACCATTTCAGCATGTGTTTCGTAAGGCCCTTCCTATCACTATTCAGCTTATTACTTCTATTCATTCCTTCTCTGCTGTAATTAACAAATCAGGTTAAACCGACGTAGTTTTCATAGACTTCAGCAAAGCCTTCGACAGAACTTCCTATTCAAAGTTAATTTTCAAGCTTAATTTACTGAGTCTTCAATCGACAATCGTAAACTGGATAAAATTTTACCTGCATTCCCACGTTCAATATGTAGATATAAATGGTTCTCATTCAGACTTCCTGTTAATTCAGGCGTCCCCCAAGGAAGTGTTCTAGGACCGTTACTTTTTCCAATTTATATTAACGATGTAGTATCATGTGTTAAAAAAGGCGTTGAAATACGATTATGTGTAGATGATTGTTTCTTATCCAGCAAATTTAATTCTTCTAATGATCAGCAAATTCTAAACGATAGCCTTGATGCAATAAATAATTGGTGCGACCTTGGGGACATGAAACTAAATACTGAGAAAACCGTATTTATGTGTATTACTAACAAAGAGCAACCGTATGAACATCAGTACACGATCAATAGTCTTCCTATCTTGCGAACTGATAGCTTTAAATATCTTGGTGCTACAATTACTAGTAATCTAACATGGTGCTCCTACATTCTTAGAGTATGCACCTCAGCACGACAAAAACTAGGCCTACTAAGACATAGGCTGAAAAATTCGCCTGCGAACATAAAGCTTCTTGCGTAAAACTCAATAGTACGGCCATGCCTTGAATACGCATGCATAATCTGGGATCCACATACTAAAAAAAACATTGTCAATCTCGAAAAAATTCAAAGATTAGCCATACGCTTCATTTACAACCGATACCGCCGTCACTACTCCACGACAGAACTAATGAAAATGAATAAAATCCCTACTTTGGAATCTCAATGCAAAATGAATAGGCTAAAATTTCTTTTCAAATTATCCCACGAGAATATCAGACTCGAAACATCGGCTTTTCTGACTCCGTTATCATTGCGTCTCACCAGAAATTACCATTCTGCAAAGTTCACGCCTACAGTGAAACCTTCTCAAATCGTACCGGCGTAAACAGTAGTTTCGTTTTAAAAGTAGTGAAGTCCAATCCCCGACTCGGCGGTCATTGAACATAATGCATCTTTTACCCGCATAAGACATACCAGCTTATCGCGTATGTATCAGTTAATAAGTAATTTTTCCAATTTTCGTTGCGCACTCACCACGGCATGTCACCCCCCACTGGGCGTCCCGACAGAACAACAAGCCCCAGAGATCGAAACACGCCTCGCTTGTTAGTGTTGATGATGATGGCAGCTGTGTTGGTGAGCCCCATTTCTTGAATTTTTCTGCAACAAGAAGCACTTGGCCGGCTAGGCTTCTGATGTTGTCCAGGTGATGGCGCTTTGCAAAAACACGCTAACACGGTGTGCGCTTGCTTTGCTTTCTTTGTTCCTTTGGCGCCGTGCATAGGTGTTCTCTGGTTGATCCGTGCCGTACAGCTCTCGCGTTGTTTTTCACGTGTTGTGTATGTGTGTTTGTGCTGCTTTGTACTTGCGTCATGCCGAAGCTGGGACAAAAGCATCGAGTGCTGAAAATAGAGGAGAAATCGGACATAATTCGTGCTATTGAAAGTGGCACGAAAAAAATCGGCGCTGGCACGCAAAAAGGACCTGCCGTTAACCACGGTGTGTGAAATTTGGAATTCCAGAGAGAAGTTGCTCGGCAGTGCTGCTGCAACTGCGAAAAGGTGCTGGCTATGGGGTTCGGCGTTTTCAGATGAAGAGGAGGCGCTGATGAAGTGGCTAAAAGCTGCACGGTCAAAAAATCTACTTATCAGCGGACCCCTGCTCGTGGAGAAGGCCCTGGTTTTTGCCTCGCAGCTCAACCATGACAACTTCGTGTGCAGCAATAGCTGGCTGGTCAGATTTAGGGCGAGGCACGGCATTTACACGAGGACTGTTTCGGGAGAAGGTGCTGAAAAACATCTTGGAAGACTACGCTCCTGATGACACCTTTAATATGGATGAATCGGCGCTATTCTTTAAGCTGCTACCAAACAAAACACTCGCGTTCAAAGGCGAGACGTGCACCGGCGGCAAGCGTGCAAAAGACAGATAATCAATGGCGTTGTGCATAAACATGACTGGAACCGACAAAACTCCGCTCCTCGTGATTGGAAAGTCGGCAAAGCCTAGATGTTTCAAAGGCGCCCGGTTGCCATCAGGGATCATCTATCACAGCAAAAGCAAAGCATGGATGACGGCAAAACTTTTTTAGGAGTACGTGCACCTCATCGATCGTCGTTTTGTGGCTAAGAACAGAAGAGTTGTTATTATTTTAGACACTGCTTCGGGGCACGTCGCCCTGGACAACCTGACGGCTGTGAAGTTGGCGTTTCTGCCACCAAACACAACAGCGATTGCCCAGCCCTTGAACCGAAACATCATTCGAGCTGTAAAACAGCTCTACAAGAAGAATCTGCTGCGCAGATTTCTTATCGCCATTGAATGTGGCAAATTATTCTCCATCGACCTGATTGGCACGATTCACCTGCTCGAATACTCGTGCCGGCAGGTTGAAGCAACGACAGTTCAAAATTGCTTCAAGCGTGCTGGCTTCAGTGTGTGTGCAGGCGACGCAGATGACGCCAGTGACACCATTGATCAGACTTCGGACATCGTAGACGAAGCTTGCAAAACTCTGCTAGCTGAAGTGCTGGAGCGGCAGGGCGTTATGGAAGGCACTTCCTTCCCCGACTTCAGAGACACAGACAGCGATGTGCAGACATTTTCGGACATGTCTGACGAAGCCATTGTTGCCTCAGTTGTCAAAGTGTCGCCAAATGATAGTGATGAGGACGACATGGAAAGCGATAACCCGGGTGATCCAGGACTGACAGAGGCCGAAGCTGCGCATTGTATCAGCGTCATGCGGGTATTTGCCAAAAAGGGGTGGCTGGCGGAAAAGCTGGCTCACAGCATAAGTGAGTTTGAGGCCGCTGTCGTTTGTGCTAGGCCGCCGCGTCGTCAAATGAGGATTACAGACTTTGTCACACGAAGTTAATAAATTACTGCACGTTATTTGTTCTTTCATCTCACTCCCTGTGAGCGACCTGACGCTATTTCGGTTAAGCAGTACTACCGTTTAGTACGTACTTTTTCCGAGCTCCGGCCAACTACGGTTTAACGAGGTTTCACTGTATCACAGCGTGCACTAAGAATTTTATGTATTCCTTTTTTCCTCGCACTATAACAGACTGGAATAACCTTCCGCACGAAATTCTTTCATTCGGTAATGTGCTGAAATCTATTGATCAAATGTTTGACTTGTAAATTTTGTATTATTATTTCACAGTGTTTTTCAAAAAATTTGTATTGTCCTGTTTATTGTTTTACCTCGCTAAAGCTTGTATAATTGATCTAACGGTTCTGTAACACCCCCACTCCTGCTTGGGCCCAATTGTGGCCTGCAGTATTAATAAATAAATAAAATGACATGTGACAATAAAAGGGCAATATGATTCAACAACGATAATTAGCCCAGCTTTCACCCATATAAAGGGGGAATGTAGAATGCCTTTATATTTCGAGGTAGTAAGCACTGAAACAAAACGAAACATAAGGGAAAAAAAGTAATACTACCGTAGACTTATTATTATTAACAATCTATATAAGAAAATTCAGAAGTTGCCATGCTCTTCTTTATAAATTTGACTAAAGTAAATTCAGCAACAGAAAAAAATGCATTGCCTTCAGTGCAGCCAGAAAATTCTGGCGGCGATTTTTGCTCGAATGCAGAAAAAAAAAATCATCCGCATGCTGGGAACCCGAGTGCCCTGCTTTCGGTCACGGTCTCCACTGTCGCCAGAACCCGTGAATGCGCCCTCTCCCGGCAGCCGGGCGCGAGAGGCGATGCACATGGTGTTGCTGGGGAGCACGGCGATTGAGATGACCGGAGTTAAATACGCCGTGCGCTCCATCTCGACGACCAAGAATCGGTGAGCCCAGTGGACTGACTGAGAATGGTATTGACTCAGTAAGAGGCTCATGTGCCATAGGAAGCAACCACAAGTGTGTGCTTTAGAACATATCTTTAGCTCGCTCTCACTTCGTTGGACATGTATTTTAGCTATCGCTGACTTCTTCAACTGTTGTATAGTTGAGCTGTCCTATGTTAGCTCAACATTCTATCCGGTGCTAGTATAAACCTTTTCTATCTGTTGTAATCTAGTGTTTCCCTGCCCTGTTCAACTGTATGCATTGTGCAATAGAAGGTTAAACACAAGACACTAGGATTCGTGGGCACAGCCATTCCTTTATTAGAATCACATTTGGTGCAAGACCATAATGAACACTCAAGAACAAGCTTGGGCGACTTTAGCTTAGAGATATTTTTTTCTTACAAAGGTCAACAATATGCAGTCGAGATTTCCACAGCACAAGACATCACAACCAGGGAGAAAAAAAGAGATTCCTTTATGTACAAGAGCTAATCGCTAAAGTAAGATCATCTCTTGAGCAAAATGGTGGCAACACAAGCACCTATCATGGGTTAAAGCTAGCCTTTTGCATCGTGCTAGAGGCTTAAAGTTGTTGCCTAAAGAGCCATTTACACAGAAAAAAAAAAAGAAATGTGCTAGCTTCTAGGTCTGCTATTTGCAACCTAAAAGACTTAGACTGAGAAGGTACAAACACACAGGACGAGTGCTGTTTGCTTGTACTTTCCTAATCTACACCTTTCAGCGGTGTTAAGGATTCATTTGTATCAGCTAGCCCAACTTTCTATCTTGTTGCCTAGTATTTGCAATAAAAGCAGCTAGATATCAACCAAACAACAGTCAGTGCCACCATGTTGCCACTGTTTTCACTGACTAAAAAAAACCATGAATAAGAACATTCTACAACTTTTAAGGTATTATCAATCTTTCATAGTTGCTTGTGGGTGTTGCATGTAAAGCGCTGTGAAGCAGTGCTGCTAATGCCACTAATAGCCACCGTATCAGACACTACATTGGCTTGCTGGCAACTGATGCAAATGTTGCGTCCTCTCTATGCAATTGGCTCCCGCTAGATTTTCAGGCTGACAGCCCAGGCATGCAGTTAATGCCATATAGAAAGCTACTACAAGATCGGGGCTCCGCATGTTTAAGAAAGAAAACACGATTGTGCATAATAAAGTACAGGCACAGCAACAAGCATAGAAAAACTGTGTCATGTGCAAGAGCAGTTCATCTGCACAACTATAACCAGCAGTCACTTATCATAAATGCTACCCATGTCGTCTAAAAAAAATTATCCACAAACCTCTTTGTTTTAAAAAGAGATATTTAAGATGACAAAAGCTGCAAATATTTCTGCCTTATCTTTTTGGACCACATGCGAAGAACCTTTTCCCAGTTTTCTATGTTCCAACATTGAAACGTTACCACAAAAGAGAAGCGCAGGTGTATGAGTTACAAAAAATGTTGGTGGCAGATTGAGTCATGAACAGAGCACCCCTCGCCAGACGGATCATCGCATAGCTACGACTTCTTCGGAAGCCGGAAAATATACCAACATCTTCATGTGACTATAAATCAGCACGTGCAATTAGCCAGGATGTCCAACCCTGGGAACAGTCTTATCATTTAAATCACCGGTGCAGCTGTGTGTAGCACACATGGTTTGTAAGCTGCATTCACCTTTTATATCACAATTAAGAACTGCAGATTACGTCCAACAACCCTAATGGCATGCCATGTGTCAATGTACATTCACCTGTGCAGCTACCACTGCACACTACAGTGCTGGTGGCATGACTTGCGCCCCACATATCCGATCCTCGAGCACACTGTGTCACGTTGATTGTCGTCACACCAGAGCAAAGAACCTTTGATGGACGATGCAGCCAGGTCAGACGGGCTTGTAGCGACCTTGAGGTGTGTACCAAATCTGTCCCAAGAGCAGCCGTCGTGTGATCTCGTGCCTTAGGAGACCCAGCTCTTTGGAGAGCTTTTGCAGCAGGCTGTTGTTCTCAATGGCACGCCGTGACAGGTATGGCATGACCTCATCAATGGGGCCATATGGGACATACTTGTACACCGAGTAACCAGCCTGGCCTGCAAATGGAAGCGTCACAAATGCACCCCTGCAGTTTCACACGCTTTACTGGGCTGCACTTGGGCAGAGCGATGAAAACTACCAGCGCTGACATTCTTGGAACAAGGAGTTACGGGCTGAAGTCGACAAGCTCACTATTCAAGGCTGCAACCTTTTCCTCCAGAATAGGCTTGTTGTGCAAATGCTAAATATTAGGTTCGAAGCGAATAGTGATTTCATTAGAATTCAAAATTGAATTTGAATAGTATACATCACATATTTAAAAGGAAAACATGCATATTTGTCATGACCCAACTAACCTGCACGAAATATTTTTAAAATTGAAGCAAGGCTCGTGAAAATGTAATTTTTTTCCTTGAAAATGCAACTCTGAATAACAGCAGGACTTGAATTTTGGCATAACACAAGTGGAAACCTGTGAGATATGTTACGTTTTAAAATTTGCTAAACTTGAAGCGTAAATAAAGTGTAACAAGCTTTAAACCTTAGAAAAGAAAGAATCAATGTGAGGTTAATATGTACATTTAACTATCAAGTGAGGTATCGTGGCAGTGCCAATTTTCTTTGGAAAAGTGTATTCACGGCATAGCACCTCTCCACTGCAGAAACCCCCTTTCAAGGCAGATTACATGTAGACTAATAAACAACTATTCGTTCATTTTGAATACTGCTAAATCCCCACAATTTAAAGTTGAATCAAACATTTTAATCAGTTAATATTCATTCAAATATTTGGGGTGCTGGATAACTCGCACAAGCCTCCTCCAGATCAAACAAAAAAGGAGGAAAAGGCAAAAAAACTGGAATTTTGCTTGCGGTCAAAAGCGAGTAGGAGCTGATATTCACACTAGAATGAAAAGTGCTTAGTTCTAGCTGTTTTGTTTTTTTTTGTGGACACACTGTATTGGTTGGATTTAGGAGCCCTAAAAGCCATAGTGCATCGAAACCAGGACAAGGCAAAACACACACATGGTCCTGTGGTATGCATGTTTCGCCTAGTCCCATCTGAGATGTGCAACCCCTTTGAGGGCTATGATTCACCAAACAACTCTGTCATGTCAAAGAGTTCCTATGAAACATTTATACCCATCGGCTTGAGCGTATTAAACATGTAGACAAGGTATGACTATATTTTCAGAAACTGTAAGCTTGACTGAAGTATTAGGGTCATTAAAAAAGGATGTGGCAATTGGAATGATAAAATTGGCTAAAAATTAAAAATGGGCACATTGCATATTTAAAGTTTATTGAAATGTTTTTGCAAACTTATGCCGCACACTTTCCGCAGAGATCTTTTAAATCATCAAACAGAATAGAAAGCATTGGGTCACCCCAGCTCACAAGAAAGCTATTATTAAAAAGAAACAAATTATTTCACACCTTTTTCTTAATAAGAACGTCTTCAGACCTTATAAATTTTAAAGCTTTCAGATATAAGTTTAACACCGAGCTTAAATTGGCAAAGATAACATATTGTCAACGAATACATTTTGATATCAACGAGAAACAACCTGAAGTCGTGTGGAAAATGTTAAACAATGTTCCGGGTCGTTCATAGTTACAAATCGGAAACACCCCTGACGCTAAGGCTTGATAACCGTGAAATTGTTGGACAAATGCTTGCGAATCATTTCAACCAGGTTCTTTTAGAGCATGTTTAGCTAGATAGTAATGCAGAAGCTATCCGGCCAACAATCAATATCACGTCTGATAGCAAGGCTTTAAAATAATATAAATATGTTCCAGACTAAGCCTATTAAATATGTTACAGAACATCTCGCACCTGTCCTCGTTTACCTACGTAATCTTGCCACTCAGGTGAATTTTCTGATGCAATGAAAAAAAATTGAAGGTTCACAAAAGTGGCAATAAGAATGACACCAAGAATTAAAATTGCTATCTGTGTTTCCAATTTTTTTACAGGGCTTGAAAAAAAAAACTTTTCTCAGCTGAATGGCTTATTCGACAAAGTAAATTTAATTTCTGATGAGCAGTTTGGTTTTAGGGAAAGGCATTCTACCAAAACAGCTTTATTAAGTCTTAAGGAGTGTGTGCTACCGAACATTGAAAATAAACATATAACTCTCGGTTTCTTCATTCATTATAGCAATGGTTTTGATTCACTGAATCATAAAATTCTTTTACTAAAGCTATCAGATAGCTGGTTTCGTAATAAGCATTTCGAATTATTCCATTCATATCTCACCAAAAGGAGTCAATGTGTGTGCATTGGCAACTATCGTTTATCTCCCCTTTTTATAAAATGTGGTGTACACGAAGGCAGTATTTTGGGTACATTAACAATATTGTAAGCACTGATGCAAGCCAAAAATTTATTTATTATCTATGCAGATGACAGCACTATCCTACTTGACCAGCCTTGGTGAAAAAGCTCTAGCATTAAAATGTAATCATGTCCTTGAAAAACTAGTACAGTGGAACTTTGATTATACGTCCTCCAGTTTCGCGGTTACCCACATGTTACGACAAATCGGTTTGGGCCCGGCGAAATCCCCATAGAAATACAGTTGGCTCTCGTCAATTCAAACTCGAAGGGATCTCTGAATTTGGTTTGAATTATCAAGAAATTTGAATAATCAGAAGTTCTCAGATAGATGGCACTGGGTGATGTGACATCACACATTATGATTAGGCATTGATTTTATCACATTTAAAAAGTTTTCAAGTGTTTTTAAGCCCTAACTGCAAGCAATGAACAAATAGAAGAGTTGTAAAGTCCACAAGTTTATTGGCCATTCACTGCTGATCAAACATTTTAAAAAAATCTTGAATTGCCAACTGCTTCTTTGCTATAGCTATGTGCCTTCAGCACAAAGCTATCTCTATACTAGTTGAGAAGCATCACGGTTTACCATGCGTGTGTTTTGTTTCAAACATTTGTTTACTAGCAAAGCCTTTTTTACTTGAAGGCCTGAGGTGCTTATTTTTCATTTTTAGACTGTTAGGATTATATAAGCACACAAAGTTTTGAATAGTAGTGGGAAAGCAGCAGATATTTTCTGGTATGCACCTGCAAAAAGCGTGAAGTATCCGAATGATGAAGTTTGAATTAGGAGCCTTCTAAATACATTGAAAGAACAGAGGGGAAACCAAAAAATTGAATTTTGTTTGAGTTACCCAAAAGTATGAATTATCAAAGTTTGAATTATTACGAGTGTACTGTAATGTAGTAATGCACCTTGCTTGTATGACGCAGTTTTACGCTGACCCCGCATCTTATGACGACATTCAGATTTTGCCAGACAAAAAAAAAAAAAAAAACGCCTTTACTTGAATGAAACGTCAACCAAATATTCACGAGTGCAAAATATGAACTTGGGTCCCCCTAGGTTGATGATTAGAAAGTAGAAAGTCTTCTTGGAATGGAAAGTTTATTCTACTGTAAGTTCATGTGCTTCTACATACGCCTCGATCGCATGTGTCCGTATCTGGGGTCGTTACCTGGTCAAGCTCGGTCCACACAGAGTAGCTTCAGTTGGCTAAAATCTGATATTGCCACTTTGACACATGGTGTAGTAGCGCAACTTCGATGGGGACACAGAAGAAAAGAAAACACGACACTCACTACACTTGCAACTGATTTTATTTCAGAAGCAGCACTTCATATATAACTCAAATCCCTAGCGACACAGAAAAGAACTACAAACATAGAATCATTGCAAAAAAGAATTTTTAATGTGATAGTATCCATGGCACATAACCTTACACACATCTACAGTCGCCGACCGATTTTTCGGACCTGGCGGGGACCGAAAAAAAGTACGAAAAATCGAACAGTCCGAAAAATTCGTTTTTGCCAAAAATCTGAAGTTTATTGCATCAGGCAGGTTTAAAAAAGTCCTTGATGCTGCCTTGCCTCAAACTACGCTTGGAGGCAATTTGGTTTGCCTGTATTTGCGCCAAGGTGACATCGTCGCTGTAAACGCTCGACAAAATTGTCACCGCGTTGGCGATCTCCGACGGCTGCGGGCGGTCGTCGTTGTCATCCGACGACAACGACGACCGCCATCCGGCGTCGACCGTCATCCAGCGACATCTAGCTGCGAACGTCCACTCTCTATTAGCTTGATTATGGCAGCTTTCTTCCCCATCGTCAGGGTCGTATACTTCTCACGCTTCTTCACACCACCTGGCTCCCGCGATGGCACAGATAGCGGAGCCATGGCACCGAGAACACAAAATTCAATGCCGCAGATAGCCGCTGCGAAGCACACGTCTCGACGCTACGCGACACAACACGTGCAGAATGGCGACTGAAAAAAGCTGCAACGACAATAAAAGAATCCTTCTTTCGCCTCCTCCCCGTGCGATGTGATGACGATAGCGCTGACCGAAGACGAAAAAACGGCATCCATCACCGCGTCTTTTAAAAAGCAAACACGGCCTCCGAAACTTAAAATATGGCGTGCGCATTCCAATCTCGGAGGCAGAAAAAACATTTGAAGACCAAGCTTAGCCAAGCCGACGGAAAATCCAACATGGCGGCGTTCACAATGACTTAGGGCGTGGCACAAAACGAGCGATTTAGTCCGAAAAATCGAACTTTCAGGGGCAAATTCGCCCGAAAAATCGGTCGAAACAATGCATTAGCTCTATGGAATCCCTGACGGTGCATTTATAAAGTCCGGAATATCCAACAAGTCCGAATTTTTGGAGTCCGGAAAATCGGTCGGCGACTGTATATGATATAACAAAGACTGCGTTGGGTATCATTAAGAACATTAGCGTGAATTTACAGATGCCTAAAACAGAATTTTAAACAAAAAAAATGAAAGACGAACCATGTACACACGAACATGAAGCGATAGCATACGTCAGTTATGCTTGGACACTTTTGGATGAAACAAGAAATAACAGCACTGGGTATTATCAGAAAAAAAAATGATGGGAATTTACAGGATCCTGAATCAAAATTTGAAACACCATGAAACACAATATGATACTAGTAAACACTATCATCAATTAAAGTCCTTCGAGG